GTTTGTACCGAAATATATTATAATGAACCTAAATGTTTGTACAGAAATGTATGTAGCAAATATATATACCGAAATGTATTATATTAAGTTAATGTACCTAAATGTTAATACCAAAATGTATGTGTCAAAATGTATGTGCCAAAATATAAGTACCAAAATGTATTACATTGAATTAGTGTACCTAAAAAATGTAAGTACAGAAATGTATTATATTGAATTAGTGTACCCAATTGTCAATACCAAAATTTGTTATAAAGAATTAATGTATATAAATGTTTGATGGATATACCGAAATATATTAAATAAATTAATGTATCTAAATAAAGAACACATATTGTGTCGGAATATATTACATGAGAAAAAAATTAGTTTACCTAAATATCTACAATAATATATTATGATGAATGAAATGAAAATTAAGATTAAATGTAATTAATACATTAAAATTTAGAGAAAAAGAGAAATAAAAAATGAAAATATAATAAATAAATAAATAAGCTGACTAAATGTACCAATGTACGAAAATTAAACTTTAATTTTACATAAGGATAAAGTCTAAAAGTCATTTTTTTCAAAGAATTAAAATAAAGTTTTCCATTCTAATATTGAGGTTTATTTTATTGTTGGGTTTTGGGCCTAGCCCATTAGAATTAGAGTTTTACTAGCAATTGAGCCCCTCGCGCGATGCCATGGGTTTTAAGACTGTTTAGGATGATATTATTTTACATATAACATGTTTACACTAAGAGAGATGATTTTAAAGTATTATTTACAAAGAGATATATTATTTACAACTAGCTCAAATCACTGACAGTCTGCTCTTTGAGCAAGTTTTGGACGAACCTGAATAGTAACAGTGAACATGGTAGTCATGTAGATTAGGAAGCCATCCATCAATAAGTCAGCCCTCATAAATTCATCCGCTTCCACTATTCTTCTAGTGATTGATAAAGAAAGCGAAGCTGCCAGCTTTGCTATAGTTCCAGTAAGTACTTGTTGGAAATGTGCCCTAAAGCCAATTATATGATGATACTTTACGGACATTTCACATGTTAAACTAATCTAGTTTGATATAAAGGGCAAAGATTATTGTTTAAAGCCGTCTCATATAAAAGTTATATGCTTAAATGATAAGTCCAAGGAACATATAATTGGGAGAGTGTGATATAAAGAAGTTAGATTCATGAGACCATTCTCTTTCGTATACATACCCTAAATGTTCCTGATCATAGGATTTCCAATTAGGCATTGACAATTCGTTAAGATCAATACATGATATGTCTTCTCTTAGAGGGAGTGACTGGTCTCGAGTCATTGGTGTGACTAACACCAAGACAAGCATGTAGGTGCTTAATAGAGAATGAGTCCACTGAACGCGATCAACAAGGAGTTCTCATACTCATGTCACATGAAAACTCATGGTTGGGATAATGCAAAGTAGTCTTTTGACCTGAGGCATCATGGTTGCCTTGTGGTTAAGTCCTTGATCTTTGACTATGCCAAAGTCACTTCATCAAAGGGTGTCCACGACATAGTTGGGGTTAAGCCACTTAGCCATGGAGGCAAGTGAATGCACAACAAGGGATCTTTAAAGGTGTATACTGCTAGGTGTCGCTTATGGTTTGTGGAAGCCCTAAAGCTATATAATCACCAAAGGGAGAATTGAAAATATGTTTCAATTCACAATCGATTTGAAGAGTTCTAATAGCTCATTGCCTCACTAAAAGGAACCTAATGGATCGTACACCGTGTAAGGTAGAGATTGAAGAAACAACAGAGATGAGTAAGGATAATTGAATGATTTAATTATTTATGGCTATGATTAATTATTATGTTAATTAATCAAACAAATAAGTTCGTATTAGACCTCGGGTTAGTTTTGGCCCGCAAGGCCCAATGGGATTTGAATGTCAAGCCCATTAACTCAAGTTGTATGACAACTTGAAAAAACATAGGGCCTTAAAGCCCAATAAACCCATCAAGGCCGGCCATAAGGTGAAGGGTAGACAAACTTGTGTTAATTGCAAGTTTGCCACTCCATTGAGAGGTAGTATAAAAGCAACTTTATAGGCATTTCATCATAAGTGTTTTCTAAGGGAAGAGAAGAGAACACAAAGCTCTCTCTTCTCTAATGAAGGCTGGCCACCCTAGAGGAACATAGCTAGCAATCTTCCTTCCTCTAGGTAACTCATCTCTTCATCAATGCTCTCCTTGGTGTGGAGACTTAGAGGTTCCCTATTTTGGGAACTTGGAGAATCCATTCCTTCATCCATCCAAGAAGTCATGGAGCCAAGAAGCAAAGTTCCTCCATCCACATCCATGGAGTCAAGGAGCGAAGAGACTAAGGAAAGAAGGCCCTCATATGGGTGAATATCCTTTGGTAAGCAAAGAGGTGCTTCAAAGGTATAAAAGTTTCTCAACTCATTTCTTTAAGATTTGAGTTGAGTTTTGGTTCACCATAATTACTAGGCCTTGAATTTCATGGGTAAAGTTTTGTTTTTGAGTGCATACAAACATGATATCGTCTTTTAATTGTTAATTGCATGCATAAATATTGCTCAATTGAACTAATTTTCACAAATATTTCCTTCAGTACTCCCTAACCATATGATCAATAAAGTCTTTTTAAAAGAATCCCAATTTTATCAACATAAAAGAAAACCAGAAAAGCATTACTAATGACTATATCTGCAAGCATGTTGGCATTGATAAACTTGCATTTTTTAATTTATTGCCATTCTCATAAACATGGTGTTTTCCTAAAGTACTGTGCTTCAAATTTTGAAAAGTAAACGTGGTTGTTACACGGTAAGCAGAGCCCTTTAATCTACATTTCCTCCCATAATGCACAATTAACCAAAGTCCTACTCTAGACTAAAATTAAAAATCATATTTATACAATACCAAAATCAAATAGTGCAAATATTCAAATTCAACAAAAAGGTTTATTTAAATACTGGTAGTACTATTTTCTTGAGCCTTACCTGACCACGACGAAACAATGGGCTCAGAAATACAATTTGAAATTGAATTTGAACGATGACAACTAACTCTTTCTGTGAATTCAAAGTTGGAAAATTAACAAAATACTATAAATTTTCAATCACATAATTTAAATTCCATACAAAATGCCAAATTTTCATACATGCAATTCAACCACGATTGTCATTATAGACTTTTGCAGAATTAATTACCCAAAACAATATTATACTATGAGTGAGGATTATATTCCTCTAACATAGCTGACTCACTAATTGTCAAAAGAATAAGCAAAAATCACTTGAGAATAAGCAAAGATCTACTGAATAATAACAGAAGCTGTCTTTTACAAAGACCAACAATTTGGTGAGCAAAAACACATCTTTTAACCTTATCTCTTCTTTTGACAGTAGTGTTCACAAACCACAATCAGTATCACTATCTCCAAGTAATGTTACGTTAAAAGGAAAACTAATGAAAACGTTTTGAAAACTTTCAGTTTTAACAATAAGAACAAAATAAAGGGTAAAGTGAATAGTACCATGATTGACTTTCTAATGTAAAAATATGATTTTTCGTTAAAATGAACAGTATCAGAGACTTTTCGTTAAAGTTCCCTACATTAAATGGGATAATTAAACATCGCATAAACCCCTTTTTTTTTATTCTTTTCCCCCTTGTCCTGGAAAATATGGGTGAAAAATATATGCATCTTTTAAACAAAAACTCTATAATTGCACACTAATTAGAGACTTGAAAGCTAATCTGCCATTGCTGGTGGAATTGTGTTTAAGGAGAAAAGTTGAACCAAAATGCAAGAACTGTGGTGCATTCATAGAACGAGGTGCTTAAGTCTCGCACCTATCTCAACAACTATCAGAGAAACGTAATATGTCTCCCAAAGCTCGAGCCTTTCTTGTCTTTGAAGTCGCTGGAAGCTCAGTTTGACTTTTGGTGCTTCTGACACTTTCAGAATGTTTGTACCCCACATTCCAGGGTAGAAGCAGAATTGATCGGCAACTATTTTGTGTCCATCGCCACTTTCTCGTTGTCATTCTCTAAAAATATTATATAAAGTTTTCATTCTCTAAAATTGAAATTATTGAATGCAATTTCATTTTTAAACAAAACCCATGATTCTGATCACGATCAGAAATTCTCCATCAAACCCGATCCAGCACAACCAAACATGACCCAAATTCTACAATCAGATCCCAATCTCAATTGAAATTCCGAATTGCATTTCTGAATTTCATGTAGTAATTGAACAAACCCAATTGCTCAAAATTCCAAACATAATATGAATTTTTTTTTTTTTACACGTTTAACAATTTGTATATTCTTATAACCTCACCACCAATTTTTGTAGCACCCTTGACTCATTTCCAGCGAACCACCAAATTTTACTAAAAAGCAAAGCTTTTTGCTAGGCTTTTCAGATTGGACACTAAGGTCATCTCTAACCGAAAGATCTAGAAGGCCAAAGGGCCGAAAATAGCTCAAAAACTGTCTCCAACCAAGGGATAGGCCAAAGGGCCCCACTAGACAAAAAAAGGCCAACCAGCTAGCCCAATCTAGCCAGCCACCAGCCCCGGGCGGGGCTGGATTTGTCACTATTCTGTTATATAGCCGACAACATTGTACTTATTCCTGTCGGTTATATTCGACAGTAATGGTTGGCCAAAATTTTCAAATATAACGGCTAGTTACCCTTGGATTCAATTTTTTTTTTTTTTTATGAATTTAATTTGTAGTTTTAAAATTTAATTTGTAGTTTTTAAATTTAAGTTGTTGTTTTTAAATTTAAATAATAAATTATGTTTGGCACTTTTATCTTCGGTTGGAGACGGTTTTTTTGTGACAGGGCTAAAATGAGCCCTATGGTCCTCAGTTGGAGATAAAGAAAATATAATCATGTACCGTTTATTAAAATATTAATATCTTAAAGGACCAGAGAACTAAAACGAGCCTTCTAAGTAGCGTTGAAGATAATCTAAAAATCTCAATACAATACATTACTTTAGTCTAAAGTAGGAGGGGGAAAGGTACTGTGCAATTTTGCCTCAATTTCACTTTATTTACGAGTCTGCCACAGGCTATCTCTGCCGATGATCTTGATGCACACGCATTGATGATCGCGGGAAGGGAAGAACGACGGTAAAGCCGGCCCTTTCCATCTGCTTCTCAAACCCTCCTTGCCTCCTCCGTCTCGCAGACCCACGACACAGACGATCTCGCCTCCATCCTATCCTCCTCTCGTCGCCGTCTCCCTTCTCTTGCTTTCGTCGTCTTACTCCTCCTTTCTCTGTCTCTGGAATCCTCAGGTCATCTTCCTCACATATAAGGCTTTGGCCCTCTCAATTGAAACCAAAACGTGTTTTAGGTGCCTAACACAACCTCTCACTATTCACTCACATCAATTGGTTTTTGTAATTTGAACTTTTCTTTCTAATAAATTTGTATGCTTTCTGGATTTTTTATGGCAGTTTTGGACCTTTCCTTTTCTGAATTTGTATGCTTCTCCGATTTTTTTATGGCAGTTCTGAGGAAGAGCACGAAAAAGGAAGAACCAGTATTAGAAGGTCTTCTCAAACAGTACTTCGATGATGTGAGTGCCTTTATCCTTTAACTTGGCCAAATGGGTGCTCAAATTTCATGTTTTTCTGTGATTATATGAGTAAATTTTTGTATTTTTTTTTTTTGGGTTTTGCCAACTTCAATGGTGTTATTTATGGGTTTGGTATTGATTTTCAGTTAACAATGACTTTGGGGAAATTGATTGAGTCTGCATTCAATGTAACTTTTCATGCAGTTACATACTGATGAAATAGAATTCGATTTTTTCATTCCCTTCTTTTTTTAAATGCAGTTACATTTATATGATGATTTACAGCATATATTCATCTTTTTGTTTCTAATTCTTCATGCAATCTAAGCCATGAAGGATTTGATAAACCCACAATTGATAACAATGTACGGCAGCACCAACGGTTTTGGACAAGGTACAAGTAAGTACCCGTTTGCTTCATTGTTCCAAAGTATTATGTAGAGATTGCTTTAATATCTTTGGCTTCTTGGCTGTTTATGGGGTGTCCAAGATATGATTTAGGAGATTTGGTTTAGGGTTTGCAAAGAGATAGATAGGGGTGTCCGAGAGAGATGTGGGAGGATTTAGGCGAGGGGTTTCATGGATTTGTTTAGGGTTTCTTTTCAGCGATTTGCAGACAGAGAGATGGGACAAGGGTGAGAGAGAGAGATTGGAGGATTTTCTGCGAGGGTAAGGGCAACGGGTAAGGGAGGTATGGGTATGGGTAGGGGATGGAAAAGCACTTCGTTTTCCATTTACTTCCCGAAACCCGAGGGATTTCTGCAATTGCAGAGAGATAGAGATGGGGGTGTCCATTGCAGAGAGAGAGATGGGGGTGTCCATTAGGTGCCTTTAGTTGTCACTTTTGTGATTTGTCCACCTTAGATTCTTGTGTGATTCATTCTCACGAGCGTTCTATGCACAAGGTTTCATATTATTCCTTCCTTTTAATTTTGATATTGTTGTGCTTAATTTCTTTTTTTTTTTTTTTTTTATTGGGTGATTAGATTATAATTTACAATCCCCAATTTTTTATTTTGACTTTTTATGGCTCACTGTTATTTCTTTTATTGTGTCGTATAGAACAAAAAAAATTTTGAATGCTATTACTGCTGTAGTTTCTATGCGTTCTATGCTGATATCGTTCTTTCCCACATGCGCTCTTTTCACAAGGTTTCATATTTTTCACAGGGGATACTCACCCCCTTCCATCTCCTCCAACCGCAGGTGCATATATGTGTGTGTGTGTGTCGTATCTACTTATTTGCATATGTGTTTTTGTGTAGGGTTTGTTCCTGATCAGTTTTCCTTCACTTTTAACAATCTGTGCAATTATATTGCTTTGGGTTACTATTTCAAATAGAGGTTTTTAATGCGTTTTAGAATTTTTGAGATTGTTGGAAATTTTAGGGTTTGATGATTTTTATTTCAAATATTCAGAGTCTAGAAAATTTATGTGTTTGAAGGAGTTTGGGAATCTTAGATAATTGTGTTCTCTTTTAGCATCTGAGTTGCCCATTTCATTTGATTTTCATTTCTTTGCAATGTTTTCCTGCGACCGATTTAATGTAGGAGGTTCTGATACACCCGTTGCAAGCATGCTTCCTGGACAGCTGAAGCTCCAGCCTCCCAGAGAAGCTCCCGAACTATTCCGAAGGCTCCGACTTCTCAAGAACACCCACTACACTAGCGAAGGGTAAGTTCACACTCTAGACCATGGATTTTGTTGCACTCAATGGTGGGGATGTAGGCATATTTTCACTGTTATATAGCAATCTTATGATGTCAATGCTAGATTCTCTCCCCCAGATAGGCGATTTAGTAATGAGTTTAACGTGCTGGTATATGATATATATAAATAAATGCGAATAATCAGGCATTAACTTTTTTCTGTTGGTTTTAGCCCCAGGAGATGCGTTCAAGGGCTTTGCCTTTTAGTTTGGGTGTATAAGCCTTGGTTTCATGAATGGGATGCAGGTAATGTTATACGCTTGCGAACACTTGATTAAAATTCTCTAATTTCCTGTATTTCTAAGTGTGGAACAAATTTATAGCATGTTTTTAAAAGAAGAAAGGTTGTATCCACCCTTTTCATCTCAATTTCTGGTTATCCTAATTAGGGTTTTATTAATTAATTAATTATGCTTAAATATTGATCAGTTCTAAATTCAATTGTTATTGGTGTTTAGAATTATTGACGAGAGTACCAAAAAAGCAGCGGTTGTGGATCCAGTTGAACCTGAGAAGGTTCTGAATGCAGCCCAAGAACATGGCATCAGTATCAAGCTCATCCTCACCACTCGCCATTACTGGTATATTTAGACTTCCTCATCCAATCCCTCGTATTCCTACTGATATATATATATATATAGGAAGCCTTTAAGGGAAGGGATCCTCATTTAAAAAAAAAAACATCCTCTTAACCATTAGATTTGGATTTAATAAAATTATGTGGTTGAGATTCTATGGCCTACGATTTAATCTCAACCACAAAATTTCATTAAAGTCAAATCTAATGGTTAAGAGGGTGTCCCCATTTTTTTTGAAAAATGAGGATCTCTTCCCTTAAAGGGCCTGTATGTGTGTATAAATTTTTTTTTTTTTTTGGGTAGTTTAGTACTTTCCAGAAATGGATTTATGGGGATTTATAACTTAGTTGGGTACATGATGCGGATTCATATTCAAGGAAAAATGATCCCCGCTCTTAAGGTCTCTTTCTTGCGTCGATTGATCGTCTTGCTATGATTTCGAGTTGTTGCCATCAGATCTTGAAATTGTATTGTATGATTTAATTAGTAAAGTGGTCCTCACAAATCACCACCAATGTAGCACCTAATTAATCGTATTCAATGTTGTGGTCTGAAAAGAAGCACTAATTAAGGGAGTAATATTTAAGGTTGGAGATAAAAGATTTGCTATAGCGTATAACTGATAGCTCTAGATGTGTAATTAACTAATTATCATAAAAATTAGCTCTGTTGGTTAATCCAATTAGTTGACGTAAGGAATATATTTTGACTGATGCAACTGCATGCTCTCATGGATTTCCCCCAAAGATTGGATTTTCAGTTTTTGGGAATGTTAACAATTTAGTTTTTTGATCTTTTCTTGAAAGGATGTGAAATTGGAAATCCAAAATATCACGTTTTTGTTGAAATTATTTGATTTTTGGTTCAAAAATTTGAATCCAAGGGGTCCCGTTGGTCCATTTTTGACCTTATTTATATTTTATTTATTTATTACATTTTGTTGTTAGCAATGAATTTATGAATGTATGAAAACAGTGGATGCTAAATTTAGGGGGATATTGCTCAAATGAAGATATTTTTGTATGGATATTTAGTATTAGTGCGATTTCTGCTTCTTGAACTGGGGCAAATTGGACTTTGATATTGCTCTTGGACTTCAGAAAAAGTTTCCCCTTTTATGAACACGTAGCCGAGTAATTTTAGGAAACATGTGAAATTATAGAAGTTTCTATGTTGAATTCACTTCATTTCACTTTGAATCATTGTCAGGGGACTGCTTTTGGGAACATGGTGGTGCATGAGGAAGTTCTTTGGGTTTTCCAAACGTTCAGAGGTTAACTTTCCGTTTGGAGATTCTAGAAAATAAGTTGTAGTCATGAATTTCAGCAAGAGAGGTTCGTCAGGTTAGTTTGACAATCAGTGCTTCCCAATATTTATTTGTTTCATTTAAAATGGTCTCCAACGACATCCATGATTCTGTGTTAAGTTTTTTTGTTTTTGGTTTAGGGCACTTATATGGTAATGCCTGTGTTCTCTAGCTCCTCCTCTGACTCTCCTTTCTGTTTCTTCTTTTTTTCCTCTCACTACAAGTTGCAAATATGGCAGAATCAGTGGAGTTTCCCACTAGCCTCAGCATCCTTCCTTTCCGAAACAAGGTCCTCTTACCTAGCGCCATCATTCGAATTTGCTGCACTTCACCCAACAGGTACCTTTGAGCCTTAATCTTTCTCTTTTCATGCTTTATAGTGAAATATGTATTTGTGGATGGTTTTGTGGGATTTTTGAGTATCCATTCATTACCAGGTGCTGTTATCCAGATAATGTATCCTTTTTCTGGAAATAGGATCTGTCAATGAATTCAGCTTTCATATATCAAGTTAACCAAGTCCATGTTTTCTTAATCACTCAATTAATCAAGTTCTTAGTTTTCTTTAGTTTCCGATTAATGCATGGAGTTTAGGAAAAAAATGACAGTAGAGGGAGCTTTCGATCATTACTTTCCGGAGACGAACAGATCCTCTCCTTAAACGTCGATCCTCGCAAGACTAAAGCCCTTACTTTTCACTTCAGTAGAAACCCTTAATTGATTTTATAGTTCTTTCAATTAATTGGGAAGTTGAAGATCTCCTTTTTTTAACTTGAATTTGATTTGATTTTTTTGTGGTAGGTTGAGAATGTGAAAGCTCTGCTGGAGGTGGAGGTGATAAGTTTAATTTAATTCATGATCTGTTGTTTTCTTCTTTATAAACTTTTTTTTGTGGGATTGTGCTGTTTTGGGGGAAAACAATATTAAATTGAAGTAATGTTTAGATATTTTTGTAATTGGGATTTAGAGTAAGAGATGAAGAACTGAGTGTGATGGCAAAATTAAAAGTTCAGAACTTCTTTGGTTTGGAAGCTAACTTTAAATTCAGTTAGTTGATTAGTTAGAGAAATGTATAACGAATGTGTGGTATGTTTTTCAGTGCGTATGAGCAGACACGGGTGCTGCTTGAGCAGCAGCAGCTGCTATATAATGGTTGGGAGATAAGGAATTCTAAGATGCTGAGTGCTCTTGGTGTTAGAGATGAAGACTTTATAATGATCGTATTCAATGCCACCTCGAGGTATACTTGATAATGTTGTACTTTATGTGCAATTCACTGTATGATGTTCGTGCGTTTAATGGGCCTGTGAATATATTTCAGTTGGCCCACCAATTGGTTTTATCATCATACATCATCCTGAGAGGTGGGATGGTGAGTTTCTCAATACAGTTAATTTTTGTGCAAATAATGTTTGTAGAAATTGTGTTTTTATTTAGTTCATTGCAGATTCTTATTCTTTTATTAAGTTCACCATCACTCTTCTATAGTTTACATTTGGATTTGATTCTTTCCTGATGCGATGTTGTGATGGGGTTTAGTAATTTTCAATATTCTTCGACTCTTTTTAATCTGCAAAATCAAATTACGCATGGAATTTATAACATACAATCAGTTTCTTTTTAGTTGGGTTCAAATGATGTTGATTGCGCTGCTATAAAACTCCTTTATAGTTAGGTTAAAACCATATCAATAGATTCTTTATTTGGTTGGTCCAATCTATAACATATGAGATTGTTTGTTTGATGTTTCAATCAAAATTTGATCTTTTTTTTTTTTTTTTGTGTGAAATTATAATGGAATCACTAATCAAGTATATCTTAGATTCTTGGTTGCATACTCACCTTCCCACAACTATTATGTGTCTATTGACTGGATGTTTTTTTTATAATTTCCAGGATCTACGGTTGCAATGCTTTTGATACATGCAATAAGGAGGAAGCCACTACTCTTATGGAGCTTCTTTGGCATGGTAAGTTGAAGTTGCATGTCTTTTTTTTTTTTTTGTTCATGGAATTCATTATCTTGCTATGTTGGCAATTAGCAATGTCTGACGATTGGTAAAACGTTAGAATAAATGTGTTGAAGTTTGAATCGTACACATAAAGGTGAATTTTAACAACTCTAACTTAGATTTCTTAATAATTTGATCCGTCTTTCTTTCATTTGTATTTGACTATTTTACTTTTTTTCTATATAAGTACAACTATTATCGAAAGCCACAAAAAATACCCAACGGCTGAGAAACTGTTTTGTTACAAGAATAGATCATGATGTAAAGCTTAAATTTTGGGCACTTAAATATATGTGTTTTGTTTGGCAATTACAATCACTCGCATGAAAATCCAATTGGATTTGTTTTGGTCTCCAAGAATTTTTCTTTGTTTGATTATTGATTAATTTATGTGGCGAGAGTTTAGGTTTTGCTTTTTTACCCATGTATATTTGATTTGAAATGGATAGTTCAATTTGCTGTATATAAATTAGTAATCAAAAAGCTCCAAGGAGAGGGAAATTAGAAACAATGTTAGAAGAGTGATGAAGTTGAGGAGTTGATAGTTTATAGGGTTTACTTGAATTTCTTTATGATGTCCATGGTATTGATAGATTATTGAGACTGACTGACTAATTGATTAGTCACTAATTTGAAATACTTAAACGGTAACTTTTCTTTAATTCCTTTTCGTTTTGTATTTTCATTGGATTCGAAAAATGAAACAAATCCAATCAGCTACTCAGCCTTTGAAGATGTTTACATCTTAGTGCTTACTTTAAATATGTTAATTTGTCCCCGTTTCTATAAAATTTTGTGCGATGTGAACAATGTTATTCTCAATCTTTAGATGGTGATTATTTGGCAACTTCTGCAAACATGGCTACTCAACCTTGGAATTGGAAATACAGAGCTGAGGATGAGAGCAACCAGATGAGCTAGAATTGGGTTTGTATCATTCTAAATTATTCGTTTGGTTACTGATAGAAAATATAGTTGCCGAGTGCTAGTTTTTTATTTTCATCATCTTAAACATTTTCCTTTGATCGTACTTTGTTTTGATTTGTGAACGAACGATATACTTTATCTTTATCTTAGGTCACAATGTAATGTTTAACAATTGAATTTGTGAGATGGTTTAGCAATTTTTTCAGAAACTTACTATTCCTGCCAGATGCTCAAATATTATGTCCTCTACTTTTCTGCTTTCCCTTTTCCGTAGTTTTCCCCATATAGTAGGCTGAGCACTTGAAACTATAAGTATAATACTGACAGCACAATACAATCTACAAATGAATGCTTTCTTATAGCATATGCATATCCGTATATAGCAAGCAAAGTTTTACTTCAATGGTTCTTAGGTACTACACCGTCTTTTAAGTTAGTCTGTGTGGAAATTATTCATGTATGTCGCAACTAATATATTCAATTCCCACAGTAACGTACGGGCATATTTTCTAGTAATATCAAAATTTGGAGGGATGGATAAGCCAAATTACCATCTTTTTCCTTCAGTCCATTAAGAAATCTAGATATTTTAGTAGATGGATTCTGCAAGAAATCAAATATTCTTCCTATATTTTTCAAATTAGACACTAAATTCTTCAAGAAAATGCAGAATATAAATGCAACTCTGACCAGAAATGTAATCAAATTATTTACTCATATATGTGAACCGAAAATGTTGTTTTTGTGGAATATTGAGAGTGATTGAATCTTGATAGCGAAAATTTGAAATCAACACAACATGCAAGAGTTCTAGAAAGGTTTCAAAGCTTACCCAATAAAAAGGACGATGTCGGAAGCAGGGAAAGCGGCGTGATTACAGGAGAGGCCAAGATGAAAAGGAAGCGGCGTGCATGGAGAGGAGCAGGGGAGAAGTTTTTCGTTGTGATCAGAATACAGGTGATACATCACATGTTTTTATATATATAGTGGGAAATATTTAATTTTTTAAGTTATTAATTTTTCATCACATATATCTAATCATTTATATAGTGACATATGATGTATTATCCTATGTATCGGTTACACTGAAAAATCTATCGTAGGAGGGAGTTTTGGATTCTAGGGATGAGAGCAAATTTAATTGCAGCTGAGCAGAAACAAAAAGAGCAGTTGTGAGTCTCTGAGTGCGATCACAAATGTCAAAAGAGGTCAGTGGCATAAGTGAAATAGAAGAGACTAAATGGGCGGAGAAAAACGGAACAACACTGTGCTTATGAACAGTGTTTCCGCGTGCTTTCAGTTTTAGTGTAGATTGAATTTCTTTGCCTATTAAGAATTAGCGGGTTAGTTCATTAACAGTCTTCGAGTATTGCAGAGTGTATGGAGACCCTATCACAGGAAGTAAAAATGACTTTATTGTGATGATCCAATAAACTAGTACATGCTTTGCCAGAGAAGGGTACATAGAGCCAACTGTATTGTCGACATTGCTGAGGTCCTTTTCCTGAAAGTAGCGATTCATACGTTTTTTTTCAATCACGTGTATAGAAATGACTCAGCGAAATCACAAAACAAAAATGACTAAAACCTAGCTAATATCTACACTTTATCTTAGCCCACAAAAAAAAAAAAAAAAAAAAAAAAAAAAAAGAAAAATTCACAAACCTAAATCCACTTTGTTTAAGCCTTTTCTTTCTTCTCTTCCTCCTCTCCTTCTGTGAGAGCGTTCTCTCCTTCTGTGAGAGATTCTTTCCCTCTTTTGGTGAGGGTTTCCCGCTTGACCACACTCTCCGGCGCCGACTCTAGCTTCTGCTGGGGTCGGTTGCCCCTTTTCCCCTCCTTCTGTTCTCTCCTCTTTTCCCCTTCTCTGGCGTGCCTTCTCTCCTCTTTTCTTCTTCTTCTTTTCTTTTCGCTTCTCCTGATGTTCCTCCCAAATTTTACCTCTGCCCTGCCCTGTTCTTCTCTTCCCGTCGGTATCCCTCCCCCCTCTTTCCCTCAGTCCGATCTTCAACCACTTTTCTCTATGCTCTTGAGTTCGTGTGTAGAGCGGGGACGTTTTCCCTGGGTCGGGTGTTTCCAACACCACCAGGATCTCCTTGCAGTCTGTCGTTTTTGACAGTGTTGCTCGTGGGTTTCCCCGAGCTTCTTCGTGGTAGTTGGCTAATCCCTCTGGTGCCGACTATCTCTTTTCTTGGCTGGAATCTGGGTGCTTTTCGGGTTTGGCGGTGATGTCTGCGGCGGCGGTGCTCGGTGGCGAAGGATGTTTCAGTTGGCTGGCCTTGTTGTTGTTTTTTTTTTTTTTTTTTTTTTTGTTGGGGCCTAGTTCTGTTTTGTATATTTGTTCCTTGGGCATGTGGTTAGTTTGTACTTTTGTGTTTGTTGGTGAATAAGTTGAGGGAGTTTGTCTGTAGCCTTTGCTACAGTCAAACTTTTTTTCCAAAAAAAACCCTAGTTAATAACTTTCTACTTCCAAGAAAAAAAGCATCATCCTAAAATAAGGATCATGATCTTCTCCTAAGCAAATGGTGAGGATTCTCCTGACCAGACCCATCGGATAGTTCAAATTTTATCCAACGGATACAATTATTATAATTTTTAGAGGGACCTCCTGTTTGATAACTTTTAGAGGGATCTTCTGTTTGTAGCCATTGGATAAAATTTGAACGGTCCGATGGGTCTGGTTAGGAGGATCCTCACCATTTGCTTAGGAGAGGATCCTGATCCCTAAAATAATTTCCTTGTCATTGTTGTTGACTCCCATCTGAAACTTGAACCATTTCGACAGAAAGGTCCCTTTCTCCTAATTCACTAAGTTCAAGGATCCAAGTTATTGAAATTTAATCTAACAACTAAAGTTATTATAACTTTTAAAATGATTCCCTGTTTGTAACCATTTAATCAAAATTCAATGGTCCCAAACTTAATGAATTAGAAAGAAGGGATCCAGAGAGGATCCTTTCCCATTTCGACTTCTTATGTTACTCGAAAAGATTCCACGTATTTCACTTTATTTTTTGTCTTTGTACTCCTCCCTAACAAAAGTAAAATGTTGAGAGTGGTTGGCTTTCGCTACCTAGCCAGCTCTCCCTTATTTTTCCTTCCAAACGTCACCTTAATCCAACTGGCTATAACGTCATTTTACTCTCCAACTCCTCCTTATAAATTTAGAACTTCTCTTCTAGTCTTTTGCTCACAAAACCTAAACCATATAGAAGTTAACTAGTTAATCAAAAACATGGCGCGAGGAGTGTTCAAGGTGACTATGAGCAAGCAAGAAGTGGTGGCAGCTGCCCTGCCATTGCAAGAGCATTGGCTACCACTCTCCAATCTTGACTTGCTTTTGCCACCTGTGGACGTGGGAATTTTCTTTTGCTACAAAAATAAGCAAAGCATGAGCTTTGGGTCCATGGTTGGGGTTCTGAAGAAGGCCATGGCTCAAGCTCTTGTGACTTTCTACGCCTTCGCCGGTGAGGTAGTGCCGAACTCTGTCGGGGAGCCTGAGATTCTATGCAACAACCGCGGCGTTGATTTCGCTGAAGCCTTTGCAGATGTTGAGCTTAAGGAGCTCAACCTTTATGACCCTGATGAGAGTATTGAGGGTAAGTTGGTGCCGAACAAGAAGCATGGCGTATTGGCTGTCCAGGTCTGTGTCGTATTATCTCATGTCATTTACATGTTACACGTTTCGAACGTTTGTACTGTGTAGTTGAAATATGTAACCTGTTACGGAATCTAGGTATGAATATGAACTTGTAACACGAGGCATATTTTAAACAAGGAAAAATTAGTATCCGGTCCTTAATTACTAATGTTCATTTACTGAAACCTTATTAGTTTTCAGATTTTGATTCAAGTCCCTAGCATTAATGTAATAATAAATTTACATATCAATTACATAATTTTTTAAAATAAAAATTAATAATTGATTTAGAATTTTAATACTCACACCTTATTAAACTCCTAACTAATTTTCAATTCAAAACAGTTCCAAAATAAATAAATAAATTAGAAAAGTTTGAATCCATTAGCTTTTAAAAAAAATTGTTTTCAATTTTTTAATCTTATATGTATCCATTCATGTATATTTTTCAAATTTTTAATCTTAAAATGTACTCATTCTTAAATATACCATTTTGTTATACGTAAAATGTACCCTTTATATATATATATATATATATAGAATCTATTCAATTTTTTCTAATCCATTTTTAAACTTATATGGGTACATTCTTTTTCTTTGATTTGAGAATGTATCTATGTCAAGTTTAATCGAAAAAATTTACTAATGTTATTAAGCCTAATATCTTTTTTTTATTATAATTTTTTTATTTTGAAGATGTACCCATATTTTGATACAATAATTTTTGTGATTTTGAAGAATGCACCCATGTTTACATATATAGACACACACACACACAATAGTATAATTTATGTTTTAATATTTTTACCACAAATTATGATTTTTTTTATTTAAAATTTCATTAATATAAACAACTATAAATTTCAATTTTTAATTTTAAAAATATAGTAACATATATAGAATAAATTATAACATTAATTTCAAGGACTTCGATCATAAATTGAAAATCAACAAGGTTTCAGCTAAAGAATATTCATACCTAGGGATCGCATCTAAAGTCTCCCTTTAAACAAATAGTACCTGCCACTTAATCTACAGGGCACCCACCAAGTTTTTATTCCCTATGTATGGATGGTTGTTTTTTTAGGAAAACTAATGAAAATGGCTTGAAAACTTTGAGTTTTAACAATAAGGACAAAATAAAGGGTAAAGTGAATAGTATCAGGATTGACTTTTCAGTGTAAAAATGCGGTTTTTCGTTAAAGTGAACAGTACCAGGAGCTTTTCGTTAAAGTTTCCTTTTTTTTTCTCTTTAAAAGGGGGACAAACTAGTGGCTAACCACAGTTATCCACCCCTTCCAGGGGCCCCTATGTATGGATGGTTTGTTTTGAGAAATATTTTCAACCACAAATGTGAGAGGGACAATATTTTCTAATTCCTAACATTATGGAAACAAATTAAATTGCAGGCAACTGAGCTTAAGTGTGGTGGGATAGTGGTGGCATGCACATTTGATCATCGCATAGCAGATGCCTACTCAACCAACATGTTTCTGGTGTCATGGGCTGAGATGGCTCAGTCCAAATCCCTCACTATCCAACCAACTTTTCGTCGTTCTTTGCTTAACCCTCGTCGTCCTGGTCACATCGACCCC